TAAATTTATTATTACGGGCTTAAAGCAAAGGGTGGTGATGACTGTGTGTTTAGTACTCCAGGGTGTACTCTTCAGGTTCGTAGCTCACTGAGTAATGCGCTGGCTCACTAACCCGGGTTGAATGCGGGTCTTGGCCGCGGACGTTCCCCGAGTATTTCAGTGTTGTTTTCCATTGTCAGTGGTGCAGGACAGAATGCTTGGAAAGGAACAGCGACGATTTCGAATGGGACAAAAACTGAGGTCCCGTGCACACTTTGGCGTGGAAGTAAAAGAACTGTTGACAGTTGGAATTCAATTGCTATCCGGGCACAATTTCCCTCATAGCACACTGTAAGCGCATGCCGATATTCACAAGGTGCCCAAAAGTAAATCCAGGTTCTCTATTGTAAGGGTCTGACAAGGAGAATTTGTCTAATTATTTGGGTGAACGTATAAAAAGTGTTTGGTAGCTGAACTTTCAAGACGTGTAGACATTGTCCTGACACACTGAACTTTTTGTATTTCAGTCACGCTACACTAGGAAATACGACTAATACAGAACCAACTGCTCCAACTCAAGGACGTATTTCTCCAATGTCATGGCTGATTCCCCCAATTTCCGGATCGATTTCCCCAACATCAAGACCGATTTCCCTAGCGAAAGGACCGATTCCACTAATTTCTATACCAATTTCCCCACTACCAGGACATATTGCTCTAATTTCCTCTATTTCTCCAACTTCCGTTCTTATACCTCCAGCTGCAGATAATATATCTCCCATTTTGCCAGTGGAAGGACCTATTTGGCCGATATCAGTGCCTGTTAGGTCAACGCCAGAACCTATTTTTCTGACGTCAGGACCCATTTTCCCAACTTTCGGACCTATTATCCCAACTTCCGGATCTATTTCTACGACTTTTGGTCCTATTTTTGCCAATTCCAGGTATATTTATCCAACCTCAACATCTTTACTTTCGAAACCCATTTTTTCAACTTCCAGACCTATTTTACCGATTTCTGGATCTATTTACCCAACGTCCGACCCTTTTTCATCCAGGTCCGGGCCTATTTCCACAAATTCCGGACCTATTTCACTAATTTTGGGATCCAAAATTTGGCAAACTCAAGGATCTATTTCTCCACCTTTCGTATCTATTTCTCCAGCATTTGGACTGATTTCTGCAACGTTAGGACCGATTTCCCTTACAACAGGGCCGATTCCCAAGCCAATTTCTCCAATTTCCGTAACTATTTCTTCTACTTCAGTATCTATTTCTCCGACTCCGGGACTTATATTGTCAACATCAGGACGTATTTGGCCAACATCAGAACATATTTCCCAAATCCCAGTACCTTTTTTTCCAACGGCAGGGCCGATTTTTCCAACATCAGGGCCGATTTTCCCAAAGCCAGGACCGATATCCTCAACGCCAGGGTCTATTTTCCAAACCTTCAGACTTATTTCTCCCCCTACTCCCGTAACTATTTGGCCAAAACCAGAATCTATTTCTCCAACTTATGTATCTATTTCTTCAACTTCCGGTTCTGTCTCCCCAACCCCCAAATTTATTTGGCCAAAGTTGGGACCTATATGGTTAACGCCAGGACATATTTCTTCTACGCCCGGACCTAATTGGTCAACACCAGACACTATTGATCCAACGCAAGGTCATATTTCTCCAACGTTAGGAATGGTTTCCCTAACGTCTACGCTGGGACATATTTCATCGGCGCCAGGACCTAATTGGTCAACCCCAGAAGCTATTTCTCCAACGCAAGGTTATATTTCTCCAAAATTAGGAATGATTTCTCTAACGTCAAGACTGATTCCCCTAATTTCCGGACAACTCCACGCACCACCAGGGCCTATTCCTTTAACTTCCGGACTCATTTTCCCAACTACTCGGCCTAATTCTTCAGCTTCCGGACCAATTCCTTCGACCTTCGGAACTACTTCTCCAACGCCAAGACTTATTTCTCTGACGTCCGGACCTATTTCTCCAACCTCCGGACCTTTTGGGTCGCCGCCAGGGCCTATTTGGACAACATCAAGACCCATTTCAGCAACGCCCGGATCTATGTCTCCGACTTCTGTATCTATTTCTCCCACTTTCGTATCTATTTCTCCAACTTCTGTATCTATTTCTCCAACTTCTGTATCTATTTCTACACCTCTCGTATCTATTTCGCCAACTCCTGTATCTATATCTCCAACTTTCCGTCATATTTCAATGGCCCTCGGACCTATTCGGCCAACACCAAAACCTATTTTTTCAGCGTTTCTGGAAGTAATTTCCACAACGTTTGGTCCTATTTTTCCAACGCTAAGGCCTATATCTCCAAAGTCGGGACCTATATCTCCAAAGTCGGGACATATTTATCCAAATTCGGGACATATTTCTCCAATTTCCGCATCTTTTTCTCCAAATTATGTATCTATTTCTCCAAAGTTAGGACCTATATCTTCAGCGTCAAGGCCTATAACCCCAACGTTAAGACCTATTTCCCGAACTTTCAGATTTATGTCTCCAATTTCCGCACTTATCCACCCTACATCCGTACCTATTTGGCAAACATCAGGATCTGTTTCTCCAACTTACGTATCTATTTCTCCAACTTCCGGCTCTATTTCACCAACCCCCAAACTTATTTGGCCAAAGTCCGGACCTGTATGGTCAACGCCCGGACATATTTCCTCGACGCCAGGGCATAATTGGTCAACGCCAGAACCTTTTACTCCAACGTCAGAACCTATTTCCCCAACGTCATGGGCTATTCCTCAAACGTCACGACCTATTTCCCAACCTTCCGGGCCTATTATCTCTATGCCAAGACCCATTTCCCCAGCTTCAGGACATATGATTCGACGACCTCTGCACCAAATAAAGAATCGACCACTTCGCCGACTGCTGCACCGAATAAAGAATCGACCGCTTCATCGACTGCTGCACCGAATAAAAAGTCGACCGCTGCACCAACAGCAGCACCCATGGCTCCACGATCAGCTGCACCAACGGCTCCGCCAACGGCTGCATTAACGCATTTTGTCCTGAATTCAAATTCAGTTTTAATAAAGTCACATGTTTATTTTCTTCGTTAGTTATAATATAAATAATTTGATATTCAGAAAACATAGGAAAAAAACTAATCAACAAATCAAGATCCTGAGAGGTTATCTCAAAAGGTTAATTAAGCAGAAAAAACACAAGCCATGCCAATTGTAAAGAATAGTTTATGGAAGATAACATGGAATATTAAATAAAGTTAAGCAGGCTAAACCCATTAACAAGCTTATGTCTGTAGTAGAAGAACAAGGAGCAGAAAAGAAATTTCTTCATCTTAATATTATAAAGCAATAAAATAATGCTCGCATTGTATTTAATGTTGGAAATGCTGAGAACTATAGTTTGCATAAATTTGCATCAGGTCTAACAATTTCAGACTTCCACTACCTAAGCTAGGTCACATTATTGGTGCATTTTGGTCCACAATCGACGATTCGCACAGCTTCATCAAAAAATTCATGTTTCTTAAATACAATAAAATAGATAATAAAATTTAAGATTTTTTTTTAAGTATTTTTGTTTTTGTGACAAGACATATTCATTTTTGCCAAGACAGTGGGTGTGACACTTGCAGGAAAGGTGGGTTTTTTTTAAGCGTGAGAGCATTGGCATTAGTCAAAATATTGCTATCTAATTTTGTAAAGTGTTGCAGTTTCCAATAATCAGTATCGTTTCAAAATGATTCAGTTTCAGGATTCAAATTCTTGAAACTTTGATGTTGGAAAATATAAATTTAAGTCCCTTTCTTTCGATTCTTCACCAAACGTCTACAAATATCACTATGAAACGAAATGAAAGGGAAACGGGGAGACGGGTTATGAATAGGCAGAAGCAGTTGCTCTATCGGGAATCATAAAGATTCATTCCACAAAGATCACAGGGGGGTGGGGTCACAGGGGGTGGGGGCGAATGGCTAGCACGCGGGCGCTGTATCATAAGGCCAGTCATTGAGTCAACTGGCGTGGTTTCGAATCCCCGGTTGTACGTGACAAGGAGTAGGGTCGCCTGTCCAACCTCGTGGGTTTTCTCCGGGTCCTCCGGTTTCTTCCCACTGCTAAAGACCCCAGCGCGCAAGCGAATTATTGAAATAAAATTAATACCATATGTTAGTCCCGAAATGACCTAGTTTGTGTCGAGTGGACGTTAAACCCCATCTCTCTCTCTCTCTCTCTCTCTCTCTCTCTCTCTCTCCAAAGATCACAATAAGCCTGGGTTCCAATATCACTCTCTTTAAGAATATTTTACGACATTTCGGTATGAAATCCTTTAAAATTAATGGTGCTGGATATATAGCACAATGGCGGCACCCGATTGACCACCACGGTCCACACAACATATTTCTTGTATAATATCCAAACAGCAAAGCAACTGTGGGTGTTTATCTCATCGTTACCGATTCATAAAACTCATGTCCTCCCATCTCTGTTAGAATAAAAACCACAAATAATTAATTAGATGTCAGTTATATTAGTGACCGAGTTTTTGGTGGTTTAGTCAAAGTAAATTATTTCGACGCCCTTCGCTCGGTATACATTAAAATGCCCCTTTTCCGGTCCGTTTGTGGGAAGTATAACATATTTAAAGGAGTATCTCCTTTCCCCTGCTTGCTCGGTCGTGTCGCACGTCAGTGTCCTAAATTCTCTGGGCTCACGTCTTCAAAGATAAACTAAAAGCATGACTCATTATTTCCTCAATTCTTCTGGTAGGTCAAAGGCTAAACTCAAAAATGCCAAATACAAAACAAAACGAATTATATAATATGAATAACCCTAACCTATAATCTAAAGATAGATCTATGTAGGTTGCATTTAGAAAAAAACCCATAAAGTTAAAAGAAGGGGGATTAGATTGCGTTAATGGTACCGTATCTTTGTAGGCCAAACCTAGATATCTACTAATTTGAAGGTCATTATTTCGTTTTCATTGATAAGATATTTCTTTATGTGGACACATATTTATGTATAAAACCCTGTTTGGTTTGTTCTTATTTGTATTTACGAGAAACCAAGTTAGAAGAACCATGTTGACAGCTATAATCTTCGGGGTAGTCCTATGTGTCACAGTATCTACTGGTGGTAAGTTGGTCCTATGTGGTAGCCACGGTGGCTCGATGGGTAGGGCGTTGGCTCGCTAACCTGGAGGTCCCTATTCGATCATTGCGTTGGCGAGAAAGTGCATAGGGATTTTACGGTGTTGTTGCTCCTGGTGAGTGGTGCAAGACTGAGGGAATGTCAGTGAGCAACGTAAAGTCGTTCGGATGGGACGACAAATCGAAGTCCCGTGTGCGCATTGGCGTGCACGTAAAATATCCCTTGGCAGTTTGAATTCGATATAAGACTAGGCCGTAGCGCCGCTGTCCGGGCAAAATATTTCTCATAGCACACTGTATGACGAATGCATTAGCCCTGTCGGAGCAGAACAGTAGGACATTAAGCCCCATTTTATTTCATTTCATTTGGTCGGGCAAAATATTTCTCATAGCACACTGTATGACGAATGCATTAGCCCTGTCGGAGTAGAACAGTAGGGCGTTAAGCCCCATTTTATTTCATTTCATTTGGTCTTATAGCGTAATTCAAATTTGAACACAGTTAGGCTTTTAAAACTGATTAAATATGTCTCTACCAAAATCAAGCCGAAATTCATGTCGTACTAAGGATTTATCTGTGGCGGAACTAAGGACAATAATATATCGGAATGACCGGTGTGCTCATTTAAGTGATTTTTGGAACAGGAACGGCTCCCCTAGCGCTACTCATCTTGTTGTTTTTCTTGGGGAGATGTTTTCCGAGGACAGGTCCAAGGCTCCACTAATTCAAGTACGATCAACATGGAACATGACATGATTATTCCGTCCACCATTGTGCATCGATTGAAGACATTTGATACCATTTCAAGATGGCGGCCATGACGACGTGCTCGGTTTCTTGTCAATACTTCTACTTGTTATGATCGCCGTATCAAGATAGGGAATGATTCAATATATGGTGTTAATGGTGTAATCTTTCTCTGTGTAGCTGATGTAGTTGTATTGACTACGGAGAACAGGCAACAAGAAGTAACAGAGTTTGATCTTGCTAACCCATCACACAAGAATCGCGTTCACCAACACCGTAAAAACCCAAGTGGAATTAGCTATGATCCGGTAGAAGAGAAGATGTATTGGGCTGAACCAGGAGCCAAGGCTATCTACAGTTCTAAAGTTGATGGGTCTCAACAACAAATGGTACATTCAAGTAAGAATTAATAAAAATTCGGGTTACATGTACGTCAGAGGGTTTTATTTTTGTTGATGTTGGGGTTTTCTTTCACTTAAAGGAGGCAAGTCTTCAGCTCTATATCATCCATAGTTTTCGACATTGCAAACAAGACTTATTGGTCAATTTAAATCAACATTAGTGTTGTTATCTTGCCTTGAAAGTTTAGGTTTCTGATATCCAATAATTAAGACAAAATGAACATTTTAAAATTGGCACACGAATCGCGTACCAGAATGCTTTCATTCGCCATTTGTAATATGAAACGACTCGATGAACGAGGCTAAACATACCATACAGTAGACTGGAATAACTAGTTAAATCCCATTTCATTTCATTTCTTTTTGTTGTTTACAGATGTGAATGTGTATGACGTAACAGTAAATATAGAAGGACGTGAAGTAATATATACAGATTCTAGAACTATATCTAGAATATCTATCAATGATCATCATGTATCTACAGTTGTATCACATGCTACTGGTGCTATAGATATAGAGTATGATCCTATTGACAAGTAAGTATATACATGTACTATAGATATAGAGTATGATCCTATTGTCTTGACAAGTAAGTATATACTATTTGGCCCTGTTGATAAGTAAGTATGTACTATACATTAGATATAGAGTTTGGCCCTGTTGATGAGTACGTATATACTATAGATATAGAGTATGATCCTACTGACAAGTAAGTATACATGTATACTATAGATGTAGAGTTTCGTCCTGTTGATAAGCAAGTGCATGCTACTGGTATTATTTGTATATGGATAGTTTAATCCTGTCGATAAGTAAGTACCGCGTATATAGTTAAACGCCGTTATCATAAACTTCGTATTCTCGAAGACCCAGATGACACATCGACAGTGGAGTATAGAGAAAACCTTATAGAATAGCAGCTTGAATTCATTGAGTTTTGATTTATCTAACCATTATAGTATGCATAAGTTTTTGACTCTTTCTTTTTTTGAATTGTAAAATAACCGGTTTAGTCTACATATTTTTGCCATATTTAATTTTTGTGAATATAGCATGCAAGTTGTACATTCATCTATCAACTATATTATCAAACATATGAAATACGGTCATTATCAATTTTATGTGTTCTTAAACTATTTCAGTTTAACAGTTATGTCTTACGTCGTTGTATGTGTTTTAATACTTAAGTTTATTATTGTACCGGTTTTTGCCACATTAACTTACCACCTTGGTGTGGAGCTGTGGTGACTCATTGAGTAAGACGCGGGCTCACTAATTGATGTATATTGAATTTTTCAGACACATATATTGGTCTAATTTCTTAGGGAATGTAATAGAGAAATGTACATACCCTGCTGGTCAGTGTTCAACATTAGTAAAAACATCATTTCCTCTGAATATGGCCATAGACCCCAAGGGTTAGTAACGGGATATTTTTTGTATAAATTTAAAGATATATTCCTTCTAGACTAGTAAGGTTATTTATTGCATCCTAATAACTTAATGTAAGGTAATGCCAGCATTTCATGCGAACAGGAAAAATAATGAATAGATCGAGAATAATTAAATGAGCATCACTTTCTGTCAACCAGTAGATCTGGCAAGTATGATAGTGTGTGTTGTAGAGAATAGGTTAAGGTCACAGCTGGCAATTTGCGCGTTTCGAAATACCGTGTTGGCGATAGGTGGCCAATTCAAACAATTGCCTTGTGCACATTACTCAAGCTCCAATGGGGAACCAAAACGATACGTACATGATGTCTTACTAAAGTCGCATGTTCAAGGAACCTAGTCAAACAGCAACAACACTGAGCTTTAATTGTATATATATATATATACCTTTGTTTCAGAAAGTCGTTTCATTCGTGTAATGTGGCAAATAGTAACGATGAATGAATGAAATGGGGTGTAACATCCTACTTTTCTGCTCAAATATGGCTAATGAAATCGGGCATACGCCATGCAGTGTGCTATATGAGGTAAATTTTGATCGGGCAGCAATTGAATTCCAAATGTCAAGGGCCGTACGTATCTGCCAAAGTGTACACGGGACCTCGGGTTTTTCGTCCCATCAGAAGGACTAGACGCTGTCGGTTGCCAGGTCCTCCGCCCTGTACCACGATGTACTTTCTGGGACAACAAACACCAGACCTCCAGGTATGCGAGCGAACATCTTACTCAGTGAATCACCAAATATACTATTCAAAAAAAGTAGGGGATATTTGATTTTTAAGTGTTATTAAAGTCACCTAATGAAACTGACGAAGAAACAAATGACAAAATGAAATGAAGTTCACATTCATCGATTTATTCCAAATGATCGTTAGACTAAGTAAGGCACAGACTGACCATTATAAGGGTAAAATGATACCCGGGGTCAAACAGCAAAGTTACCACAGCATCACAACCAAGTCAGTAACGGGTAAATCCTCCTCTGTTTGCCAAACAAGCATTGATTCGACGTGGCATACTCCTAATGAGACGTCTAAGGTCATTTTGGTCCAGATTGTCCCATTCCTGTTGCAACGCAGCAGCAAGTTCTTGGACATTGGCAGGACGTTGTTGACGTTGACGTTGCCATGCTCGATGGGGGAGAGGTCGGGACTCAGTTCTGGCCAAGGTAATGTGGTGATGTTCTGTTGTTGGAGGTAACCTGTAACGATCCTGGCCCTGTGACATCTTGCGTTGTCATCCTGGAAGATGAAACGGCGGCCATGACGTCGTGCGAACGGCACAACATGGACTGCCAAGATGTTGTCCCGGTAGTACTGGCCTGTAACACGCCCTGCAACAACATGTAAAGCCGTTCTTCCAGCAACAGTGATGCCTCCCCACACCATAACAGAACCACCCCCAAATCGATCATGTCTGATGACGTTAACGTCTTGGAAGCGCTCGTTTCGACGACGCCACACCCTCCTACGTCTGTCCAAAAAATCAACAGTGAACCTTGACTCATCTGAAAACATCACATTGCTCCAGCGTCGATTATGCCAGTGTTGACGATCCCTACACCAACGACGTCTTGCCTGAATGTGATGATCTCTCAAACAAGGGATCACGCGAGGACGTCGGGCGCGAAGGTGACCCCTATGCAGTCGATTCCGAATCGTCTGGCCACTCACTCTCACACCAGTGTCTGTTTGAAGACGAGCGCTGATCTGATTTGCTGTGATGACACGATTTCTCAAGGCCAAGGTACGGATAAATCGATCCTGGGCTTGAGTTGTCGCCCTTGGTCGACCTGAGCGTGGTCTGTCCTGTACAGATTGTGTATCACGGTATCTGGACCATAGCCTGCTTATGACAGACTGAGAAACATTCATCGTCCGCGCCACAACCGCCTGTGTTGTGCCGATCTGTAGCATGCCAAGGGCACGTAACCTTTCATTTTGGGTAAGCCCAATTAAAACAATTAAACTGATGTTTCCACCCTGGAATTCAATGCCACAATGACTGTAACATTCAAAGTCAGAGTCGTGCAAATCTTGGGTTGGACCCCCATGATGATCCCAAGCATCACCTGCATTCCATGCGGTAGCTATTGGTGCGTTTGGGCGTCACATGTAACTGGAAATGTTTCTTCTGTTAGGTTCTATAGTGACTTTTTTCGTAGTCATTTGCATATTTTAGTATTATGCCCCCAAAATCAAATATCCCCTACTTTTTTGAATAGTATAGTAACAAACTGCTTAAAGGGGAAGACCAACGATTTTCAATAAGGTTTCCATAAATAATAAATATATATTTAGAAATAATCCCTCCTATAACATATGCAAAAAATAATTTGCAAGCGAGAAATTAATTTTTATTAATACCGGAAGTGACGTAGTTGGTTTGACACGCTCACTGGTCACTATAGTAAACATACAAATTTGGAGCAAGTTTAGCGCTGTATTTTGTGATCGTTTCGCCGTTTGGCAGAAAATCTGATGAAAGGTAATCTTTATTAGGATATTAAGAACAAGAATTTACGGTGTTTTGAAGGTACAATATACAACGCGTTTGTGTAAATTAAGTTTCTAAACTGGACACTGTGACACAATTTAAGCCACATGGCTAATTGTTTACATCACGTGATAGCTGGCACGTGACAGATATTAACCGAACACAAATTGGCGACCTATTCGGCTAGCGACCTATTCGACCGATCAAGCTGGCAACCTGTTCGTTGGCAACCTATTCAGAATGAGAGCGCACCCCTTTAATATGATTGTGCCAACTTTTACTAATAATATTTCGAAAGCTTATTTAATCAGCTTTCGGAATATATTTAGTTGGATGTCCAGAATTTTGTAAGATAATGCGAAATTACATCTCTATTCTGAGCTAAAGGAATGGATAAATGATAATATATTCTACTTTCATTTGATAGACGTTACGTTGGATTTTATTGGTTGATAAAATAGATGAGTTCGGGCGACTGTTGAATTTATTCTGAATAGGTTGCCAACGAACAGGTTGCCAGCTGGATCGGTCGAACAGGTCGCTAGCCGAATAGGTGGCCAATTTGTGTTCGGTTAATATCTGTCACGTGCCAGCTATCACGTGATGTAAACAATTAGCCATGTGGCTTAAATTGTGTCACAGTGTCCAGTTTAGAAACTTAATTTACACAAACGCGTTGTATATTATACCTTCAAAACACCGTAAGTTCTTGTTCTTAATATCCTAATAAAGATTACCTTTCATCAGATTTTCTGCAAAACGGCGAAACGATCACAAAATACAGCGCTAAACTTACTCCAAATTTGTATGTTTACTATAGTGACCAGTGAGCGTGTCGAACCAACTACGTCACTTCCGGTATTAATAAAAATTAATTTCTCGCTTACAAATTATTTTTTGCATATGTTATAGGAGGGATTATTTCTAAATATATATTTATTATTTATGGAAACCTTATTGAAAATCGTTGGTCTTCCCCTTTAAATACCTGTCTGCTCCAGCTGATGGTTTGTTGTATTTTATTCACCGTATGATTTATTTTGCTAAATATCGCAGGCAAGCGACTGTATTGGGTATCAGGAAACCATGAACAAGTAGAAAGTATTGGTTTAGATGGTCATAATCAACGTACAGAAATGAGCTCTAATGATGATATGTATACAGCATTAGATTTCTATGATGGAAACCTTTATGTTGGTGTTCATAATTCCAAGTTAGTATAATTAATGTTTTAGGAGTTTATCGGGTTGTCTTGATTTTGATATAATGTAGGGCTCTATCGACGTTTCTGAAGTTAATATTCCCGTGGGAGGGGATGAGTACGGGGACTAATCCATCCCTTATTCAAATCTGTTTTTTTAAAATAAAATTCTGTTTTCAACAATTTGCGTTTTTCAGTTTTACAGGTATATTTAATGTTATCGTTGAATAATGTTTGCAGTGTTGATTTAATGAATACGTTTATGAATAAAAGATATTATACTCAATATTTTACAGACAAGCTAAGATTAATAAATATGATGTTAAATCACGACACACAACAACAATAACTACAGAAGACTATAGATCATATTATGATATTGCTGTCAGTCCTAAACAAGGATCGGGTGAGTTATGTCCCCTTGACTGTTGTTCGTTCTCGTCATTGGGTTATCATGGGCTTAGTACGGACTTTGGAAACTATACTATGCGAATTTGAGATAGGCCTACATAAAATAAGCACATCTAGCGTACATTTTGCATTAAAATTGTATGTTAAAAATGTTGGTAATGGGCAGCATTCGTGTTTCAAATCCGAGAACTAAAACAGTAACAAACAAACAAAATTACAGGGGCATTACAGGAGATTTGATAAAGAGTTGACAGTTCTCGCTATAATACTTAAAAAAAATAGATAACGTACATAGAATATGCTGACAATATCAGTCAAATTTCTCCACCCTGAACCGAGATATTAGTTTTTGAACTTTAGGCTAGCCTCGATCATCATTACTTAACCAGTTTTACGTTTAATTATCCTTCACAAGATGTATTCCAATGCTCTAAATATCGCAGGCAAATTAATAATTTAGATAACATATCAGGCCTAAAGAAAGACTTGCAATAGGCAGATTTAGCTCTTGCATAATGTGTGTTTAAATGATCACAAATCAGTCTTCAGTTGTTAATTTCTGTATAGACATCACAATTTCCTGGTACAGGGTATTAAAACATTTTCTGGCAGCACTTGTTTCAAATCTGAGAACTTACCCAGAAAGAGAACAAGAGTTAGCTAGCGACATTGATTGCTCAGAAATCAGATTTCAGTTGTAAATTTAATTAAAATTGAGAAATCAAAAGTCCAATAAATATTAATAAATTTTGACAACTCAATAGACATAGATATCGTTTGGTAAATAATATAAACTCGTTGTTAGTTAAATATATTTGGCTTCGATTTCTTTTTTTTTCAGGACATATTATTGGTTAACAATGGGACTTATTGGTATTTATGGAATTTGGTGAATAAATAATATAGGGTCTAATGTATTCTCTTAGTTGATATTTTGTTTGATCATTGCATAGCATCAATTGGTACTGTACAACTTTCTGCCAAGAACCATCTTCCAGTTTTCCAAAAAGTTACGGAGAGCGAAAGATATGTTATAGGCATGCATATTCTACAAATCATAATATTAATAAAATTTTTTGCGATACGTCGAGTGCTAATAACAAAAAAGCTCTTGTCGGTTCTAGTCCTTCGGATGAGACGAAAACCCGAGGTCCCGTGTATACATTGGAATGCACGTAAAAGATCCCTTGGCAGTTGGAATTCGATATAAGAGTAGGCGATAGTGCCGCTGCCCGGGCAAAATGTCCCTCATAGTACACTGTATGGCGTATGCCCGTCTTCATTAGCCCAGCATAGGAGCAGAACAGTAGGACGTTAAACCCCATTTCATTTCATTTCATTTCATTTGTTGTCGGTTCTTGTCGGTAATTAGTAAAACCGTCGTGAAGGGTTAAAGCTATCCTGGATGATTCTAGATCGAGTAATGTTAGCTATGCCTGGTCTAAAAACATAGTGTTTACAATCATTGAATAGCATTAATAAGGGTATTATAAAACTTTCTGTCGAGAATCAACTTCGATAGCTACTAATGTCGACTCATAAAACAGGCTGTCAAGGATTAAAGTTATCGCGGGTTATTGTTGTTGTTCTTAGCGTTTAACGTCCGCTTCCACCGAGGGTGATATCGCAGACAAGGTTTCATTTTCTTATTATCTTAGCGTACGCGCGGGGGTCTTTGCTGTGGGAGGAAACCGGAGTACCCGGAGTAAACCCACGAGGTTGAGAAGGCGTCCCTGTCTCCAAGCCACATACGCTCACACCAGGGATCGAAACCACGACCGCAAGCCAGAGGTGATCGGCCAGCGGCAGCTCGAAGTGTGACACTCTAGAACACTATGTCTTGATTTGATTAACTCCGGGAATCATGTAAACTAACCACTAGTCAGGGGTGTCAAGGAAAATTGATAAAACGACTTCTTCAAGATTTGATAGTATTTATTTGTTACTCAATATCATATATTATATGATGAGTACAGATTAAATTAATAGTCTTCCATGCACACAAATCTACTAGCAAAACGTTTACATTGTGATCCCAAACAACAACTTCTACCATTTCCCGTTATACTGCATGTATCACCACGTTTAATACAACCACCCTAAAAAAATAAACATCAAATACATATATTACCATGGTTTAATACAACCACCCTAAAATAAACATTCCGTGAAAAAATAAACTTTTATATAAAGGTGCACTACCCTTCGATTAATGAAAATTTGTGGTTGAATTCTGTCGGAACGACATTCAGTCTGAAATTTGCCCGTATAACCTATGAAGTCATAAGTTCTCCGCATCAAGCGAAATGCTTTTGAGTTACGTATACTGTTAATTCCCATAGCAAAGTTACCTTATATTTTAGTTCTGGATATTGTTTAACGCCATAAACGACTTGGTCTTATTACTCATAAATAACGTGCGAGCTGCGGTGGTTCAGTGAGTCACACGCTGGTTCGCTAACCAGGAGGTCTCGCGTTCGCTTCCGTTTCCTTGGGATTTACCTACATGGCTTCGCCTTACGTGCACGCCAATGTGTACACGGCACCTCGGTTTTTCGTCCCATCCGAACGACTAGACAGCTTTCCTTGTCAGGCTCTCCGTCCTGCATCACTGACATGGGGGGGGGGCACGCCGGATAATCTGGATGAAACTTCTCGGCCAATGCTGGGATCGAACACCCGACCTCCAGGCTAGCGAGCCAGCGTCTTACCAACTTAGCCATCGTGATCCCCATATGAATTGTGCCCGTATTCATTAGTCCATCAACGAAGAAAGGTAGAACGTTAAACTCCATTTCATTTCTTAAGTAAAGTATGGAGAATTTCAAGATGATAAGGCAATATTTACCACACTTCCACCTCCTAGTTGACATCGTCTTTGTCCACTGAGACCATAACTTTGACAAGTATATCCCTTACAACATTGCATACCATTAGTTAATCCACATCTATCGTTTAGTTGTCCACAGAGCTAAAAATATACATGTAATAAATACTATAGTGCATGCTGTGTCCAATGACAATATGGGAAATAAAACTATGGATCGGTACCGATATTAAAAACTCCAGTAAAGGAATAGCCATGGTCTGAGTAAAATGCCCTGAAACCCCTCCGCCACGTATACCCTCCAGTCATTAAAAGACTTAACTATTATATCCATGATAAACGAAAATTTTGTTTCAGATTTAGTTGGTTATCATAATAATCATGATTACCACGCAAAATAACTAGAGGGTTAAAACCTAACTTTGAAACTTCTTTGGTTTAAACCCTGGTTCCCGATTACAGGGACATTAGCTTATGGGAACAGACGGGTCTTTTTTTTACACCAACCCATAATTGAAGCTATTGGATACTCTCGTACAGTATAAGAAATGGTATGAAGAATTTTGAAAATTAATAACTTGTGGTTAGTTAAAATGAACAAATCATTTAACCTTGGCGAAGTGGAATCAAACTTGGAATCAAACTTATTAGTTTATTATTGGTTTATTTGGTCAAAATCCATCAATACACAATATTTTAAGAAACTAACTTACCTTTGCCATAGGATCAATTTGTCTGGTTTCGTAGGAACCGAGAGCAACAGCAGCAAAGGCAACAACAAGTAATACGACGGCAGAATTCATCTTTGAGATCTTTTGATATTCTAGAAAAGATAGGTAATATTAAATAATAATACAAAAGTAGGACAAACTTGAAATATAATTCAAAAGTTAAACAATAATACAAAACTACAGCAGGAGTCAATTATAATTCAACACGGCCGTAACTAGCTCAGAGCAACGAGGGGGGGGGGCAGGAAGTGTTCTCAGGGGTGCTGTAAAATTGACGGACAATGTATATCTGTTGTTTTTATAGTCGACAATTTTTTCACAGCGGGGGGTGGGGGCTTGCAAAAAAGTTCGCCCCCACCCCCGCTGTAATTACTGGCCTGTAATTCAAACGTACATCAAAGCAAAATAAAACAAAAAATACCAGAGTGAATCCAAATTAAACAATAATACGAAAGTGAAACAAAATTAAACAACACACAAACGTAAAACAAAATCAAACAATATTACAAAGTTAAGCAATAGCACATAAGTTCAGGAATAAGTACAACTTTCTACAGAAAGAAAAATATGTTCAACTTGGACTTGAAACCCCAACCATGTCTTGCCTTAACCTACCTTGGACAATTTGTTTGTGAATTTGGACAGTTTAGCACTGGTTTATATACTAGAATTTTAATATAAGATTAATATCAATCTGTCAATCAACTGGTGTATAATACAGCAGAATTGATACAATCGTTCAGTCCACCTCCATCGATACAATCATTTCATCAGATATACCTTGACACCAGATGCAGCTTTTAGTCCATTACCTACCTATAAGGGCAAAATATTGTCCGCAGTAACACTGTACACGTAAACAGCGAGGGAGCGATAGAAATGGTATTTAACGTCCACTCGACGCAAACTAGATCATTTCGGGACTAACATATGGTTCAATTTTATTTCTTTAATTCATTTGGCAGTGGGGTCTTTGGCATTGGCTGAAAATCGAAGGACTCGAAAAACCCGCAAGGTTTGACATGCCATCCTACACCTTTTCGGGTACAAGCTGGAAATCGAAACCACATCATTTGAGTCATTGACAGACCTAATGAGAAAAGTGAGGTGAAATAGGGTTTAACGTCCTAGGTTTCTGCACCGACTAGGCAAATGAAGATGGGCATACGTCCTGACCGCGGCACTACGATCTAATCTTATCTCAAATTCCAATTGTCAATGTTTCTTTACGTCTTCCGAACGACTACTAGACACCGTTCCTTGTCAGGCCACGTCGGAACTTTGTCGGCAAACACTGGGAGCGAAACCGGGGCCTCCCAGTTAGCGAGCCAGTAATTTACTCACTGAGCCACTGCGGTGACCGAGAGACCTTATGGTCTAGACCCCCTCCCAATCTCTTACAGCAACTTAAGATACATGTACAAGACAATTTATATTTAGAAGTCCCGTTGTTTTTTTTAGCAGGATGGACTTATTAACTAAGTAGATAGAAATGAAATGAAATGAATTGGGGTTTAACGTCCTACTGTTCTGCTCCTAACCTGGGCTAATGAAGACGGGCATACGCCATACAGTGTGCTATAAGGGAAATTTTGCCCGGACAGCGGCACTACGGCCTACTCTTATATCGAATTCCAACTGCCAAGGGATCTTTTACGTGCACGCCAATGTGTACACGGGACCTCGGTTTTTCGTCCCATCTGAACGACTAGACAGCTTTCCTTGTCAGCCCCTCCGTCCTGCATCACTGACAAGGGAGAACCACGCCGGAAAATCTGGATGAACTTTCTCGGCCAATGCAGGGATCGAACACCCGACCACCAGGCTAGCGAGCTAGCGTCTTACCCACTTAGCCACGTGATCCCCAACTAAGTAGATAAATGAGAAACAAAACATACAATATACCTTTTTTGATGGACGATTGATAATACTAGTTATTTTGTGATTTTTTTTAGAAAATCGGATTTAGAATATGAAGGCTATCTTTCTAATATTACTTGGCCCTGAAAAGGGCCGTTTTAAAACATATTTCTCTTGTTAGGAATTTTTAATAAACCTTATCTATAGAGGCTGGCATTATCTCTGATACCGTGTAAAATTTGTCTAAATTGAAGAATTTTCTCTGCTTTCTGTTCAGTATATTGACGGTAAACATTTCTTACTCCTTGTACTCCAGACATCTTTAATCTAATCGTGTAACAAAACGCACGATTGCCATCTCTTTTAGCTCTGTTATAACGAACTTGAAGATCTTTTAGTTTATTATCCAATAAAACTATCTGTTCGTAAGCTCTGTGGAAACGTTGTTCAAGTTCTAATAACTTGGTTTCTGATAATTCATCATTAAGTCTAGTAATAGATTCCATCTCTAACGTCTAGATC